AGACAGAAGGCGAGGGTGGGGGTGAGGGAAGAGACAGAAGGCGAGGGTGGGGGTGAGGGAAGAGACAGAAGGTGGGGGGGGGGGGAGAGACAGAAGGCGAGGGTGGGGGTGGGGGAAGAGACAGAAGGCGAGGGTGGGGGTGAGGGAAGAGACAGAAGGCGAGGGTGGGGGGGGGGGAAAGACAGAAGGCGAGGGGGGTGGGGGAAGAGACAGAAGGCGAGGGGGGGGGGTGAAGGGAAGAGACAGAAGGCGAGGGTGGGGGTGAGGGAAGAGACAGAAGGCGAGGGTGGGGGTGAGGGGAAGAGACAGAAGGCGAGGGTGGGGGTGAGGGAAGAGACAGAAGGCGAGGGTGGGGGTGGGGGAAGAGAGACAGAAGGCGAGGGTGGGGGTGAGGGAAGAGACAGAAGGCGAGGGGGGGGGGGGGTGGGGGAAGAGACAGAAGGCGAGGGTGAGGGAAGAGACAGAAGGCGAGGGTGGGGGTGAGGGAAGAGACAGAAGGCGAGGGTGGGGGTGGGGGAAGAGACAGAAGGCGAGGGTGGGGGTGGGGGAAGAGACAGAAGGCGAGGGTGGGGGTGGGGGAAGAGACAGAAGGCGAGGGTGAGGGAAGTGACAGAAGGCGAGGGTGGGGATGAGGGAAGAGACAGAAGGCGAGGATGGGGGTGGGGGGAAGAGACAGAAGGCGAGGGTGGGGGTGGGGGAAGAGACAGAAGGCGAGGGTGGGGGGAGGGAAGAGACAGAAGGCGAGGGTGGGGGTGGGGGAAGAGACAGAAGGCGAGGGTGGGGGTGGTGGGAAGAGACAGAAGGCGAGGGTGGGGGTGGGGGAAGAGACAGAAGGCGAGGGTGGGGGGTGGTGGAAGAGACAGAAGGCGAGGGTGGGGGTGGGGGAAGAGACAGAAGGCGAGGGTGGGGGTGGGGGAAGAGACAGAAGGCGAGGGTGGGGGGTGGGGGAAGAGACAGAAGGCGAGGGTGGGGGGGGTGGGGGGAAGAGACAGAAGGCGAGGGTGGGGGTGGGGGAAGAGACAGAAGGCGAGGGTGGGGGTGGGGGAAGAGACAGAAGGCGAGGGTGGGGGTGGTGGAAGATACAGAAGGCGAGGGTGGGGGTGGGGGGAAGAGACAGAAGGCGAGGGTGGGGGTGGGGGAAGAGACAGAAGGCGAGTGTGGGGGTGGGGGAAGAGACAGAAGAGGGTGGGGGTGGGGAAGAGACAGAAGGCGAGGGTGGGGGTGGGGGAAGAGACAGAAGGCGAGGGTGGGGGTGGGGGAAGAGACAGAAGGCGAGGGTGGGGGTGGGGGAAGAGACAGAAGGCGAGGGTGGGGGTGGGGGAAGAGACAGAAGGCGAGGGTGGGGGTGGTGGAAGAGACAGAAGGCGAGGGTGGGGGTGGGGGAAGAGACAGAAGGCGAGGGTGGGGGGGGGGGAAGAGACAGAAGGCGAGGGTGGGGGTGAGGGAAGAGACAGAAGGCGAGGATGGGGGGTGAGGGAAGAGACAGAAGGTGGGGGTGGGGGAAGAGACAGAAGGCGAGGGTGGGGGTGGGGGAAGAGACAGAAGGCGAGGGTGGGGGTGAGGGAAGAGACAGAAGGCGAGGGTGGGGGGGGTGGGGGAAAGACAGAAGGCGAGGGTGGGGGAAGAGACAGAAGGCGAGGGTGGGGGTGAGGGAAGAGACAGAAGGCGAGGGTGGGGGTGAGGGAAGAGACAGAAGGCGAGGGTGGGGGTGAGGGAAGAGACAGAAGGCGAGGGTGGGGGTGAGGGAAGAGACAGAAGGCGAGGGTGGGGGTGGGGGAAGAGACAGAAGGCGAGGGTGGGGGTGAGGGAAGAGACAGAAGGCGAGGGTGGGGGGTGGGGGAAGAGACAGAAGGCGAGAGGGTGGGGGTGGGGGAAGAGACAGAAGGCGAGGGGGGGGTGAGGGAAGAGACAGAAGGCGAGGGTGGGGGTGGGGGAAGAGACAGAAGGCGAGGGTGGGGGTGGGGGGGAAGAGACAGAAGGCGAGGGTGGGGGAAGAGACAGAAGGCGAGGGTGGGGGTGGGGGAAGAGACAGAAGGCGAGGGTGGGGGAAGAGACAGAAGGCGAGGGGTGAGGGGGAAGAGACAGAAGGCGAGGGTGGGGGTGGGGGAAGAGACAGAAGGCGAGGGTGAGGGCGAGGGAAGAGACAGAAGGCGAGGGTGGGGGTGTTGGAAGAGACAGAAGGCGAAGGTGGGTGTGGGGGAAGAGACAGAAGGCGAGGGTGGGGGTGAGGGAAGAGACAGAAGGCGAGGGTGGGGGGAAGAGACAGAAGGCGAGGGTGAGGGAAGAGACAGAAGGCGAGGGTGGGGGTGGGGGGGGGGGAAGAGACAGAAGGCGAGGGTGGGGGGGTGGGGGAAGAGACAGAAGGCGAGGGTGTGGGTGGTGGAAGAGACAGAAGGCGAGGGGTGGGGGTGAGGGAAGAGACAGAAGGTGGGGGGGGTGGGGGAAGAGACAGAAGGCAAGAGGCGAGGGCGGGGGAAGAAGACAGAAGGCGAGGGTGAGGGAAGAGACAGAAGGCGAGGGTGAGGGAAGAGACAGAAGGCGAGGGTGGGGATGAGGGAAGAGACAGAAGGCGAGGATGGGGGTGGGGGAAGAGACAGAAGGCGAGGGTGGGGGAAGAGACAGAAGGCGAGGGTGGGGGTGAGGGAAAGAGACAGAAGGTGGGGGTGGGGGGAAGAGACAGAAGGCGAGGGTGAGGGAAGAGACAGAAGGCGAGGGTGGGGGTGAGGGAAGAGACAGAAGGCGAGGGTGGGGAAGAGAAGAGACAGAAGGCGAGGGTGGGGGTGGGGGGGAAGAGACAGAAGGCGAGGGTGGGGGTGGGGGAAGAGACAGAAGGCGAGGGTGAGGGAAGAGACAGAAGGCGAGGGTGAGGGAAGAGACAGAAGGCGAGGGTGGGGGAAGAGACAGAAGGCGAGGGTGGGGGAAGAGACAGAAGGCGAGGGTGGGGGTGGGGGAAGAGACAGAAGGCGAGGGGTGGGGGTGGGGGAAGAGACAAAAGGCGAGGGTGGGGGTGGGGGAAGAGACAGAAGGCGAGGGTGGGGGTGAGGGAAGAGACAGAAGGCGAGGGTGGGGGTGGGGGAAGAGACAGAAGGCGAGGGTGAGGGAAGAGACAGAAGGCGAGGGTGGGGATGAGGGAAGAGACAGAAGGCGAGGATGGGGGTGGGGGAAGAGACAGAAGGCGAGGGTGGGGGTGGGGGAAGAGACAGAAGGCGAGGGTGGGGGTGAGGGAAGAGACAGAAGGCGAGGGTAAGGGTGGGGGAAGAGACAGAAGGCGAGGGTAAGGGTGGGGGAAGAGACAGAAGGCGAGGGTAAGGGTGGGGGAAGAGACAGAAGGCGAGGGTAAGGGTGGGGGAAGAGACAGAAGGCGAGGGTGGGGGGTGGGGAAGAGACAGAAGGCGAGGGTGGGGGTGGGGGAAGAGACAGAAGGCGAGGGTGGGGGTGAGGGAAGAGACAGAAGGCGAGGATGGGGGTGAGGGAAGAGACAGAAGGTGGGGGTGGGGGAAGAGACAGAAGGCGAGGGTGGGGGTGGGGGAAGAGACAGAAGGCGAGGGTGGGGGTGAGGGAAGAGACAGAAGGCGAGGGGGTGGGGGTGGGGGAAAGACAGAAGGCGAGGGTGGGGGAAGAGACAGAAGGCGAGGGTGGGGGTGAGGGAAGAGACAGAAGGCGAGGGTGGGGGTGAGGGAAGAGACAGAAGGCGAGGGTGTGGGTGAGGGAAGAGACAGAAGGCGAGGGTGGGGGTGAGGGAAGAGACAGAAGGCGAGGGTGGGGTGGGGGAAGAGACAGAAGGCGAGGGTGGGGGTGAGGGAAGAGACAGAAGGCGAGGGTGGGGGTGGGGGGAAGAGACAGAAGGCGAGGGTGGGGGTGGGGGAAGAGACAGAAGGCGAGGGTGGGGGTGAGGGAAGAGACAGAAGGCGAGGGTGGGGGTGGGGGAAGAGACAGAAGGCGAGGGTGGGGGTGGGGGAAGAGACAGAAGGCGAGGGTGGGGGAAGAGACAGCAGGCGAGGGTGGGGGAAGAGACAGAAGGCGAGGGTGGGGGAAGAGACAGAAGGCGAGGGTGAGGGAAGAGACAGAAGGCGAGGGTGGGGGTGGGGGAAGAGACAGAAGGCGAGGGTGAGGGCGAGGGAAGAGACAAGAAGGCGAGGGTGGGGGGTGTTGGAAGAGACAGAAGGCGAGGGTGGGGGTGAGGGAAGAGACAGAAGGCGAGGGTGGGGTGGGGGAAGAGACAGAAGGCGAGGGTGGGGGTGGGGGAAGAGACAGAAGGCGAGGGTGGGGGAAGAGACAGCAGGCGAGGGTGGGGGAAGAGACAGAAGGCGAGGGTGGGGGAAGAGACAGAAGGCGCGAGGGTGAGGGAAGAGACAGAAGGCGAGGGTGGGGGTGGGGGGGAAGAGACAGAAGGCGAGGGTGAGGCGAGGGAAGAGACAGAAGGCGAGGGGTGGGGGGTGTTGGAAGAGACAGAAGGCGAGGGTGGGTGTGGGGGAAGAGACAGAAGGCGAGGGTGGGGGGGAGGGAAGAGACAGAAGGCGAGGGTGGGGGTGGGGGAAGAGACAGAAGGCGAGGGTGGGGGAAGAGACAGAAGGCGAGGGTGGGGGTGGGGGAAGAGGACAGAAGGCGAGGGTGGGGGTGGTGGAAGAGACAGAAGGCGAGGGTGGGGGTGAGGGAAGAGAAGAAGGTGGGGGGGGGGGAAGAGACAGAAGGCGAGGGTGAGGGAAGAGACAGAAGGCGAGGGTGGGGGTGGGGAAGAAAGAGACAGAAGGCGAGGGTGGGGGGAAGAGACAGAAGGCGAGGGTGGGGGAAAGAGACAGAAGGCGAGGGTGGGGGTGGGGGAAGAGACAGAAGGCGAGGGGGGGGGTGGGGGGGAAGAGACAGAAGGCGAGGGGGGGGGTGGGGGGAAGAGACAGAAGGCGAGGGTGGGGGTGGGATTAAGAGAGACAAGTCGTGTGCAAGGTTACACAAGTCACTCCACCAGCACCAGCACCGCCCCGTGACCGCCGCCACACACTCACAGCTGTGTAACACGTCGGAAGGTCAGAGATGAGAGGTGTCAAAGCAGTGTTGACCGGCGCCAGGACCCGCAGGGGCTCGGCTAGCCACTATAGTAGTACCACTCGGGTGACGGTGGTGGACGCGGAGACACACCAGGAGAGGGAGAGAGACAGTGTGGCCGCTCCACTACCACTCTTAACACCACCCTCATCACCAACCTGGCAGGTCCACTCCTGATACCACATCTTATCTTTTTATCTAAACCCTTGCTAATGTCCTCATTCTCTCTAGCGCTCTCGCTCGCTCTCTACCGCTCTCTACCATACTCTCTCTATCTCTCTCCCTCTCCAGTGTGTTCGCTCTCTTGTGTTCTCCCTATCTTAATTTATTTATATATACACAAGAAGGTACATTGGGATTGTGAGGATACATAGCATAGTAATAACATTCTTGTAAAGCCACTTAGTCCTCTTAGCCTTATCTTAGTCCTCTTCCCTCCCCCCCCCCTCTCCGTGTGTCCCACAATGACTTACCAACCGGCTCCCAGAGATGTCTACAGCCTTAAGGTGAAGCATCATAACAAAACCCGTAACTGACATATAAGAATGATCTGCGACAACTTACCTTTATTACTATATTGACACACATTTTTGGCGGGAGAGTCCCAGAGCTGACTATCTCCGTAGCAAAATATTGCTAACAAATACATAAAACTGCTAACAACAAGCACAAACCGCTAACAAGAAGCACAAACTGCTAACAAGAAGCACAAACCGCTAACAACAAGCACAAAACCGCTAACAACAAGCACAAAACCGCTAACAACAAGCACAAACTGCTAACAACAAGCACAAACCGCTAACAACAAGCACAAACTGCTAACAACAAGCACAAACCGCTAAAAACAACAAGCAACAAGCACCGCTAACAACAAGCACAAACCGCTAACAAGAAGCACAAAACTGCTAACAACAAGCACAAAACTGCTAACAACAAGCACAAACTGCTAACAAGAAGCACAAACCGCTAACAACAAGCCCAAACTGCTAACAACAAGCACAAACTGCTAACAAGAAGCACAAACCGCTAACAACAAGCCCAAACTGCTAACAACAAGCACAAACCGCTAACAAGAAGCACAAAACTGCTAACAACAAGCACAAACCGCTAACAAGAAGCACAAACTGCTAACAACAAGCCCAAACTGCTAACAAGAAGCCCAAACTGCTAACAACAAGCCCAAACTGCTAACAAGAAGCACAAACTGCTAACAAGAAGCACAAAACTGCTAACAACAAGCCCAAACCGCAAACAAAAAACAGGAAACAACGGGTAGTTAGGACAAGAAAGATAAGTAAGTGGTGAGTACTTACCCTCGTTACTATGACCATGGTGTCGGCTGGTGCGCCTCACTGCTCCACCTGGAGGGTAAACACGCCTCTTAGTCACCCACATTCACCTCACTCACCATCACTCAACTCTAACAATTACAACCATATATATAACATGCTATTATATATTTGTAATCTTCCTACATCTTGGGTTTTGTCTACTATACAAGTATTTGTATTCAACATTTC